GCGTGTGCTCTTCCGATCTAAAAATCGTGATTTTATTAAAAAATGGCCGATTCAAAATAGCCGATTAAAACGTCATTTTTTTGAAAATTTATTTTTTTCAAAAATTGTTAAAATTTGTTAAATTAAAATGTAAATTGGTATAAATGTTATTGGAAGATGTATGGGGTTTAATATGCAGCGTGCGCTTGTTATGTATTAGTATTATTATAATATAGAGAATAGCAAAAATTATACATTTATTAAACACAAACGTACACAAACATTTAAATTAAAATTTTTATAATTTAATTTTATTGACATATTTAAAAAAATAGTTTTTAAAATCATTAAAATTAATTAATACCTTTTTCTAAAGATAGCGATTTATATTTGATGATTAAGTACCTGAATGTCTTTATACTCAGCTAATAATGCCAAAATAAAACATAGAGCCGTTGCCACAGTATCATGACCCTATAATCACATATTTATGTCGATATAAACATTATAAACGATATGTAAAAACACTAAGAGATGTTACAAACATACCTCAAACATAAAAGTGTCGACTTCCTCTCTAATATCTGAATCAGATATCAGACCTTCACGAGATGCCGATATTAAAAGATCCAACATTGCAAGTCGCTTTTTCCGTGCTATAATGAAGTATATGTAATGTCGGCATGATATTAATAGCCTAAATCTTTGCTGCTTTAATTATATTGATTAAAAATAGAACTGTATTTAGAATTAAAATTGTATATACAATTTAAGATACTAAACATCGACCAAATTAAAGAATTAACTTTTAATTACATTACATACTTCCAGTTGTTTTTACGTAATTTTCTTCTGCGAAATCTTCATTACCAAAGTTTTTCAAGTATTGACCATTAGTGCGTTCATGATCAAGTTTTCTTTCGGCAATAATCTATGTAAATACAAGATTAATGTTTCTTTTACAAATTTATGAATGCATTAACAATGTGTCATTAACATTTATGATTTATCTTGCAACATTTGTATATGAAAGTCTTAAAATTTTTATCTCATAATTTCTCATAATCTCTCATAATCTCTCATAATTTCTCAAAAAAGACAAAAAAACTGGATTTAAATACAATTTTAAGCAATCTTCTTACTTTTTCGGTAAATCCATGTAATATCTTCAGAAGTTTTTTTTGTTCTCTACCTTTTGGCAATAATGAAAATATCCAATCGGAGTACAGCCACGGCCTCATTGCTCTAATTATAAGTAACAATTTCGGAATGATAGATATATTATTTTAAAATAATAATATCATTTTGTAAAGGAGAGCTTTCTTTAGTTTTTTTACAACCTCTTAGTGTTGTAGAATAAATAATAATTCAGTAAACACAAAATTATATTATATTTGTAGTAAATTTTTCCCAAAGAAAGAGACATTTAATAACATTTTGAGAGACTTCAAGCAACTTTTTTAATTCAATCTTATTATTAAATAAAAAATCCATATTTACACTGAATTGTTTTATTTTTTCGTGATACTTTAATATTTAACACTTGAAAAATTTTAGATATTATAGCCAATTAAATGTTAAATAGTAAAATTTAAGCATTACTTATTTTTAAATAAATATTTTAATTGATTGTATGCGTAAATTAATATCATAAAAATTTTTAATTATCAATATTTTACATTAAATATTATAATTTATTTTAATATAATAATAAATATGTTAAATATGTTAATAATAAATATAATAATAAATATGTTAATTAATATGTTAAAACGGAATATATATATATATATATGTATATATGTATATATGTATATATATCTCACTTATACTTATAATTTACCTATAACTAATAAGTTCGCCCACCCGGTAAACCGCATCTCGATAAGATTGTTGAAATTCATTTAGATCTCTTAGAGAAGTACCCAATGCAGTTTCTGCAAATATATTTGTGAAATTGTCACGAAAATTGTGATACGTACACATATATTCTAAGTATTTCTATGGTTGTGTGTAAAAATTACATATTAAATAGTAATATAATACTATCGAATCTTTAATTAAAAAATTGTATTTTATTTTCTATTATTCTACATACAAATAAAATTCTATGTAGTTATACGATACAATACCACATATTGCATTCAGCGCATGTTCACTAACAAACGATGTTAAATCTTTTACAACTGTGCCTCCCGTATGCTTTAAGGACTTTGTCATTTTTTCGCTCTCTTCAATAAAAATCTCAACAAACTGCTGCAATATATTAAAATGAAATGTGGAAGTTAACATTTTTCGCCGTGAATGCCATTTGCTTCCTAAAATACGAACAATACAAAACATAATTATGGGAAGAAAAATTAAATTAAATATTGAGATAAAAGCATTTATACTTTAGATTTCATTTTAAGTTGATTTGATTTTTAATATCTATTGATTTTTTTTTAATTTATTTTTTGATGAGATTTTATATATTTGCAATTAGAAATTATGTGTTATAACGTGTTAACAAATTCCTATATGTTTTTAATTTTTTTAATGTTATTTATATAAGATACAAACATTTATGTAATTTTATAGCTAATTATAATTTTACCTAATTATTGTAAAAATTATTAAAAATTATTAATTAAAGAAATAAGGTTTAATTTATTTAAGAAAATTTTCTTTGTTTTATGTTTGATCAATCTCTTGCGTAATATTCGATCCAATCAAATACAGGGTGTCCCGTAACGCTTAATTAATATTTCAAGGCGTGAAAGAGAATGAAATTTTGAACTAAAAGTTCCTCTTTCAATTTTGGCTCAGACTATTATTTACAGAGTTATTAACGAATAAAGTTAA